TCTGAAATCAAATATGACTTAGGATCTTGAAGATTCTAAGGTACATTTAAATTTGTATATGGGTGCCCGACTTTGGATCCTCAAGATCCAAAGTCATAAAAGGATTTTATCACTTTTGTTCTCGACGATTTAAAGTGGCGATATTTTGGTGACAAGAAAATAGAGAAAAGTAGGGGCATCCCCTTAAAATTGAAAAATTTGAGAGAAATTCTATAATAACACTTATTTGAAGGATATTAGCGTAAATTTCTATGATTCTTAAAGTTGACTCCCTTGCCCGTTTTTGTCGTGAATACAAAATAATTAGCCGAATGTTAATAACAATAATAAAGTCTAATTTTCTTCTTTGCCAAAGACATCAACGATTTAGAATGAATAGTTTCCAAAACTAACTTATTGGTTAACATTATAGAGACTCTATAATGTTTAATTTATGGTTTGATTTGTTGAATGTTCTTCTTGTAATCTTATTCGAAAAGATAAATTTGGAGTGGTAAGACCTCGAATTTCTTTCCAAATGCATCAGTCAAATGCAATCCATTCTTAGGTAAAACACAATGTTGTCGAGAAGTGCATGGGGTCTTGGCGGTAGTATTGTTGAGTCTCATGATGAGGTATGTGAATCCATTCTCACCAAAGGATAGGGGCCTAAACCCCCACCAACTTTATCACTTTTTAAGAATGAGGTTTAGATCATGGTGTTTAGGTAGTGGTGGTAGCATGACTTGAGTTTCAGCTACCGGTCTAGGTTTCCATTCCCACTGAGGCATTCAAAAACTGCTAAATGCATTCGAAAGCTGCTAATTATTTTTAAAAACGGGTAAAACTCTATGTCTCCATTACCACGTATAGTCATTGCATCTATGCTATGCCATAGGGAATAGGTCTCACACCATTCCGGCGAAATATTGCCAAATTTTTGGACAACATTAGGTTAAGGGAAATTGTTTCATGCGGCAGGGACTAAATTTCTACATTTGCGGTCCCCAAGGTATAAAGCATCCATCTTAAAGATGGATGCAAATAGGTGGTTCATCTAAAAACAACCGAAACTAATGGTTCAAATGCTTTCTTAATGGAATTATTATTTTATTTTTTCAAAATTTATGTATTTATTCATATTCATGATCTCCATGTTAGAAATTACATGGCTTTAAAAATTAGGTCCAAAAGTCCATCTCAAAACTATATTTTTAAGAGGTGACTCATTTCTACATAGACTCATAGAAACTGTGTCCTTGGGTAAAAAGGTATGCTTAAATGAGGTCCAATTCGAGTGTGGTCTCCTTTCAAAAACTTACCTCAAAGATGAATTTAGGATATAAAACAGATTCGAAGTCAATTTAAATCCAATTTCACTTTAGATCTATGATTTGTAGTCCTGAAAAAAATAAAAAACAAAAATAAAAAAAAGAAAAGAAAAGATGCAGATCTCATGATTTGCGAAGAATTAAAACGAATTGCTCACTAGCAAATTTCAGATCCATGTGTACAATAGATTTTTGAAGGAGATAACTTTTTTGATGATATAGTCGATACCTTTTTTGATGCTATAGTCCAAAATTCATCTGTACAATAGATTTTTTGTGAGGAGATTTTAACCTTTTAAAAAAGGTAGAAAATATAAAACAATTTTTGAAGGAGATAGCGTTTGAACAGGCGCGTCCGCTAACTCAACAAATTACCATTAAAACACCGCTGGTTGCATTTAAGTGGGCCTCTTCAGCGTCATTCAAATTTATCCGTCGCCATAACTTTCTTGGAAAGTTTAATAGACCATACTAGTGTTTAGAGAAATGGTTGTTAGCCTGGGTTGTCCATATGAGAAGTCAGTGATCGGATGTCTGCCCTAGTGAATCCGAAAATAAAAAATAAAAAATAAAAAAATAATAGTAAATATTAAAAATACTACAAAATAAAAGGTATGACCAGATCGGCCGATTTTCTAACAGAAACGGCTGACTCTGTTAGAGAACATATCAATTTGCGAGATATGGTGGGAACCCAACTGATCCTACCAATTCCTGATCCAAATCGGACGAGTATGATTTAAACTAATATTTTTAAAACCTTCGACCAAACAGCGTTTTTTTTTTCCTTGGCTAATAAGTCCTTGCTTTATCATTGTCATTTCCTTATCCACAATACATAAATGACTAAATGACCTTAGGGCACACAGGCCTGGCCAACTTGGTTTACATGGTCCTACAAAGCTAGGGCTTAAACCATAAATATAGACTAATGGTCTATAGATGACCAACATGGCTTTGTTTGGAAATGGCTAGCGGGTACCATTGTTTTTCCTTTTTTTTTATTTTTTGAAAAATTAAAAATGAATTTATAGTACTCATGATGAATCAGGCTCTTAATATTTATCTATTTTCAATAATATTATCAAAACAAGTAATGTAGAGCTCAAATTATTCACAGACACAATAACTCGATTTTTCAACTTATTTTTTAGGGAAAATATTTTCATGGATTTTATTTTTAGATTTTTTTTTTTTCTAGGCCCAAGATTTTAAAACCTATCTTTTAAACCTATAGACCAATTTTTTCATTTTTACCCATTCTTTTTGTCCAAACGAATTAAAAAAAGACCACATTTTTAAACCCTCTCTCTCCATGCGTTTCTCTTTCTAAACCCTCCTCTCTCGCTCCACGTGTTTCTCTTTCTCTCAGCCCCTAAGAATCTCCAAACCCCTCTTTCTCTCCCGTACTTCGCCCCTCTTTCTCTCTCCCGTACTTCCCCTAACTCTCAGGGAGCAAGGCTTCTTCCACTCAGCCCATTGCAACATGGACCTGTAGAGCTCATTCCACTGTGTCGGCCTCTTTTTGGGCATACAAGAGGACTCTGTCTTCACTGTAGAGTATAAATTTGCAGCAATGTTTAAGCGGCTTGGGAGTTTGTGAGCCAGTACTGGGGCCAGAGTGAAAGGGAGATGGTATTTTGCTCATTGTTAGAGAGGAGAGAGATGGTATTTTGCATTTTGGTTAACGGAAAATGGTATATTCATTTTCTAAAGGAAAAGTGAGTGATTGTGATGCTCTTTTGAAGAAAGAGAAATTGTGTGTTGCTTTTGTAGAGAGATGCAAGTGTGCCTTTTTCATGGAGAGGGAGTTCTTATGAGTTTTTTGTTTAAGAGTGAGAGAGAGGGGGATTGTGGGTCAAAAAAAGCAATAGACTTTTGTTTCAGAGTGAGAGAGAGGGGGATTGTGGGTCAAAAAAAGCAATAGACTTTTGTTTTAGAGTGAGAGAGAGGGGGATTGTGGGTCAAAAAAAGCAATCTGCATAGAGAGAGGGATTGTGGATCAAAAGAGAAGTAGATACTTCTTCCCAAGTGGGGTGGTGTCGGAAGTTGTGGGGCTCTTCAATCTGTTGAAGCTTGAAACCGTCGTCTTTTCGTAATATGAGCATTGAAACATAAACATTTTTCTACTTCTTCGTCCCATTCTTCTTGTTATTCTTCTTCTCTCTTTTATTGCTATTGCACTCCAGGTTATCTTATTCTCTCTAACTCTCCTCTCTGTTGCTCTTCGTTCTTCCGATGGACACATGTTAGCTGCAGCTATGGTAACTCTCTCTCTCTATGTGCAAAAACCTTTATCTTCAAAGAGCAGCTATGATAACTGTCTCCATCTCTCTCTCTCTACAAAAACCTTTATCTTTAAAGAGAGAGAGGGATTTGGATAAGCAAGAGGGAGAGATACAAGGATAGACCTTTATCTTCAGAGAGAGGGAGAAGGATTTGGGTAAGTACGGGGGAGAGAGAGAGGGAGAGACACGGGGATATAGAGACAAAACAAGTTCGGGAAGTAGAGATTTAAGGAGAGAGACACAAGTAGATTGTAGGGGTTTACACTTTAGAAAATGCTGCCATTTTAAAAATTTTTTGGGCTAAGAAGATGAATTAAAAATGGGTAAAATTGTCCCAACGGGTTAGAAGATATGATAGATAAAATCTCTATGCTTCAAGATAGATTTTGAAACTTTGGATCTATGGAGAAATGAAACTTAAAACTAAGGTCTATAGATATATTTTCCCTATGTTTTTTATGTATTCATTTCTAATTTTTTTCATGGGTCCTTATGTTGATCCAAAGCGGCTTGGGTGCTACTTCTAGGTATTAAACAATGTTTTAAACAATAAAAAATTATGCCCAAATCTAAGTAAAAGGTGGTAATGCGCTTAGATCCATATTTATGCAAATTTTACATGAGGCCCACCCTGCAAGCTTGATATTCCAAACACCGGACCACAAAAATACAATGATAAGTTGTCCAATATTTCTAACTTTGTACGAATCAAAGGAGGACAATGATAACTACTATAGGAGGTGTGATGTTTATGGTATCAAATCAGGGCAGTTAACTCAAAATTGTTGCGCCACTCCACCCCATCCCACCCGCACACCCCCACCTTCCTAAAACACAATAAAAATAAATAAAAAAAATAAAAAAAATAAAAAGCAATACCTAAAGGGCAGTTCCCTTGGACACCCTACCCAAAACTATCTCCATTTGAAGTCATGCACGAGGCCTTACAATAAAAAACTAATCTCTTACATAAATGGGGTCGGTTTTGGAGCGAAGCAGTTGCACACGTGGGTGATAGGGTTATGGAGGCTCACCTAATTGGGGAGAGGCGAAGTTCTCCATTTTCCCCCAAAAAAGAATAAAAAACAGAGGTCTCAAGAACCTCACTTAATTGGATCAAAATACTACTCCTCCAAACATTTGTCGAATCAGATCCACCTAGATCGGGATCCAAAAACCCGAGAGAGAGAGAGTGTTTTAAGTGAACCATGGTTTTTCCCACTCTCCATAGAATATTTTTACGAAACTTATATTTCATTCAAGTACAAAGCCAAAAATGAGGAAAATCATAATAAAAGGAATTCCTTTCGGACGACAAAATATCTTGAGTTTCCAATTAAAGTAACCTGCAATTTAAAACTCGAACGAATCGTGCAGTTGAAGGCACCGTTGAAATGAAATATAGTAATTAACAACACAATACACTTGATTGAAACTTCCGTTGGCACAATATTAAAATCACTTTACATTGACAAATTTCTAGGGCTTTTAAGGCTGAAATTCTAGGCGTGCAGTCTCGAGATTGTGTTTGGACCCCACTCAACCCAAGTTCAAAAGACCAAAAGAAAGTAAAAGACAAAAAGAATTTGAAAATGACATAATTCCCATCAATTAAAGAGGAACAACGACTTCGATGAAGTCTCTGGAACTTTTTGACGTGGCGAGTCATCCCGGGCCTTACGTGCAACTTCAAAGTGAGACAATCTTTTGCTGTCATTGATGATGCTCATCTCTCTATGTCATTGATGATGTTTTATGTTTTACTCTTTTTCAACTTCATCTCCTTTCACACTTTAAATGGATTTTTTTTTTTTTCCTTTTTTTTTTTCTATAATTTGAGAGGTAGCATTCTTAAATGTAAGCAGCAACCATTCAAGCCCAAGCTCAACTCCTAATTTCATCTTTAGTTTGGTTCCCTGATATCATCTCAAGCACTACACCATTATTTTGGTCATCAGATATCATCTCAAGCACTATTCCTTCTTCTTCACTTTCCTTTTTCTCTGCAAGAGTTTGTTCATTTTGGATGGGTAAAATCTTTGCAGGTTTTCTGTCTTTTGCTTTGCCCCATAGAACGAAGTAAAGTCCAAAAATGATCAAAAACATCCCTACTATACTGGAAAAAAAAAACAAAACAAAAAGAAGAAAAGAATTATTAGATAACTATCTTCAAATGTAATTGTAGCACGATTCTAAGAATTTACTAGTAAAATTCTCGAAATAAAAAAACAGACGATGATGATGGCCTTACGTTCCGACGTGAACATCGACATGAAGAATAATAGGCTCTAGAATGGCCACCAATACTGTACATAGAGGGTTGAATGCAGCAGCAAAGACAGGGCCTCTCTCCTTTATGCACCAGCTTTGAATAAAGAATGCCAAAGCCGAACACATGATACCCTGCAGGTGGGTAATTTTAGTTACAACATTAAAAAAATAAATAGAAATATCTTTACTTCCATGAGCCCATGGGCCAAAAAGAAGCATCGAGTCAAAAGATCAAATTGCCAACCGGAGCTCCTAATTAATGATTCATGTAAGTAGATCAGCAATGTAATGTCCCAAAGAATACTATATTAGGAAATGAAAATTTTGTCATTTAAAGACAGACCACGTCATTGTTTGAAAAACCGACCTATCGAACTGATAACTGTCCGGTTAGATCGAAACCAGCCCTTTTCGAGTTCTAGTTTCGGGTGGTTTTGATGATTGGCCGGTATTTTAAAAATAAAATTAAAAAAATATTTATAAAATATTAAAAATAAAGAATTTGATTTGTAATAGATTTTTTAATATTTTTTACATTATGGTAAATATTAAAAATTGTTTTGGTCATTAATACTCACTTTAAAATCTATTTTTTCATTAATTTTCAACTTTATTTGATTATGTTTTATTTTAATCATCCTTTATATGCTTTTAATATTTTAGTCGTTTTTTTTTTTGCATCGCTTTTATTTTATTCAACAAGTTTTTGGCCGTCTGGTACTTGCCCGGTAAGAATGGTTGAATCGGCTGGTTTACCGGTAGGTGTTAAACCGCTTCTGGCCCCATGTCCGGCTAACCGTTATGGTGTCCGGTTAACCGTTCTGGTTCGATTTTGCGAACACTGGACCAAGTCAATGAACATTGAGCCAAATAATCCAAGGGCCTATGAACTATCTAGAAATCAAAGAAACTCATGTTTCGATATTTATATTTTTCTCCTCTGTTTGGTAAACAATAATATTAATAAAAACAAACAATTAATAGCAAGACACACTAAATATTATCATAAAAGAGGTTGGTAGGAATGCTTACACTGTAAGCATAGGTAAAGAGCTCAAAATTCCATCCTAATTTCCAAGCCGAGGACCTATCAAATATAACTGAAACGACTGCAGACTGAACTGTACCCATGCCCAACATCATCGCTGTCAAGGATAGCTGAGCAGGATAATCCTTGAAAGTCCATGCCTGAAAATGTCAATAAACATGATACATAAGATAATTGCTTTGCATAAAAAATTAAGAGGGTATGAACCTCAACAGGCGGATCAGGATTTGTGTAACCGACCTCAAGTTGGAAAAAAGCTCGATGATGATAAAAAAATCAAGAGGATGAATAAGTTTAGAAGGTTAACCTGGTATACTATCCATGTAGAGTAGGCTGTGACACTTAGCACAAGCAGAATTGGACCCAGTGTCCAATTATCCTTCAGGACAACGGCGGAATTGGTGACCAAAATATCTGAAAGAGCAGTCGGATTCTTAAGGAAACCAAGGAATCCTAGCACCGGACCTTTAATTAAAGTCATGATCATGGCCCCAGTCACACATGTTATGGTACCAACAATCTTTGCTTGTCCCCTTAGACTCCTAAAATTCACTTTCTCCATTCTGATAAATGGAAATAAGAAAGAAACAAAGAAGAGTTATTACGCATTTTAGCTCAAATCAGTGTACAACATGAGTTTGAGTGAAAAGATATAAGTGTACCTTAGGAGAAAAGCCATGACAAAGGCAATGGCGGGGATGAGATTCATTATGGTGGCAGCAAACGTTGAAGAAGTGTAGTAAAGCCCTGAGAAATAGAGGATTTGGGAGAGTGGAACCCTGAAATACATGTAACAAGTCAAAAAGAGTGTGATCCATGGATTAAGAAAGAAAAAGATGAACCGAATTATAAGGTATGAAATCACCAAATTACCAACTGCTCTTACCCCAGTAATCCAAGAATAAAGATGTTACCCATGTTTTTGAGGGTCATAGGAGGCCTTTTCTTCCTGCAAAAATTTCAAAAAGGTTATACAGGCAATGCACTCCTGCAAATGAAGAAAAGAACAGAGAGAGAAAGAGAGAGCTTACTTATCAAGAAAGTAGGCAAAAGGTGAGATGGCAAGTGTGGCAATAGCCTGCCTGTAAGTAACAAAGATGAAACGACTCATCCCCCTCTCAAAAGCCACCCTAGTGATCACATACATCACCGCAAGAGAGCTCTGGAACAATATTTGAGCCAACAGAGGGCCATGCTTCACCATTTCTTCCCGCTTGGATTTCCACTCCACTCAAATCACACAACAACACGAAGCAGAAAAGTTGCTGATTATAATGATGAAGAAGAAGGATAAATGCTCCCTACTCTCCCATGAGTTTATATAGGAGATTTAGCCATAATAAAACAAAAAAATTAAAGTGTTTGGAAAATGATAAAACTGAATGAAATGAGTAAGGGATCTCAAGTCTCGCCGCCTACCTCCAATTCATTTGACCGATACTCTCTCTCTCTCTCTCTCTCTCTAAGAGCTTAACTCTTCGCCACCTTTGGCTGTTGGAATTGACCCGAGACTCCTTGACTATAACGTTATTCGAATAATAGAATAATAACAATTGAGACTGGGCTTGTGGCCCGGCTAATTTAAGTTTAAATGCACTAAATTATTCTCAATATGTTCATGACAAAACGTTTTCAAAAGCCAAATGACATTATACTCCATCGGGAGTATACTATCCATTTCCTTCCCACCTAGGATTAATTTTAGGCCCCTCAGGTTTGGGGATATACCCTTTCAATACACCGATTATTTAAATAAAAAAATTATGTTAATTTATTGATGGTAAGATCTAAGGGTTAGAAAACTCAAATTTCAAAATTTTTAGTTTAAGAATAATTATCAAGTGGTTTTTAGCTATTTTAAAATTTTAAAATTAAAAACAAAATCCTTCCAAGTAGGTTTTCTAACTGAGGGAATAAATATAAGAAAAAATTATAGATATCCTCTAATTTTTTCTATCCCCCAAAAAAATCTGTTGATACAAAAAAATGAAAAAAAGTGTTAAGATTCATAATGTGGTGCCAAAAATGTTAGGCAGGATGATTTATAAAAAATAAAAATTTAAAAATATTTATAATTTTCGCCGAATATAAGCTATACTCTTAACAAAATTCGAGGAGGGAGAAAGAAAGAGTGGTGCATGGGCCATACGGACTATATTACAATGTATTAAACAGTCATTGTCGTGTGTAAAATGACCCCACTTTCAATTGTACTATCATATTTGAAATCAAGGTTAAAGTCGTGGGCTCCTTCATTCTCAATGAGCTAGACCAACCTAAACACGAACGTGCCAGCTGTTACGGAATAATTGGCCAAAATAATACGGGCTCAAGTTTGGTGATGCCATGTCTCATGCGCAATCCACCCCTTCAGGTGGAAAAGGGGCTGGGGTTGGAGCACCCCACACCCTGGTCACTTTTTATTCTCACCACTAAGACCGCCCTATTAATATTTTTAAAAAGCTACCTCTTAATCTATTTGAAAAAACGGGTAGAGGATTATCTTTTCCATTGAATTACTGAAACAAAAAATAATTCAATCCTTCGGGTCGATAGGATGCTTTGCCTCGCCTACTGTAAGGCTCAGGAGACGGGTTTGAGGTTGCTGTTGCGGTTGCGGTCGTGGTGGTAGAACCACCCGAACCTCAGATATCGGTCTAGGTTTTTATTCCCACTTCCGCATTAAAAATCACAAACCATTTTTAAAACGGCTGGGAACCTGTATTCCCCATTGATATGCTTAAAAAAAAAAAAAAAAAAAGTAGTTTCAAAGAGTATCAAGCAATGTGGTTTCTACTGAAAATCTTTGTGATAGCCTTAAATATATTTCCATCTTTAATTATAAAATTAAAATCTTAAAAAATAATCGAGCAGATCTATGAAAACTTGAAAATCTTGAAAATTGACTGTCGAAAAATACATTACAAGATGTACTATTTCTAAAACTTGAAATCTATTTTTTCTCATGTCCATACATCATGATGCCAAGATGATCAATTTGAAGATAGTCCGGCATCAAAACAACCTTTTCTATTGAAATTTTTGAGGTGCGCTCCAATTTAATTGTTTTGAGCCTCGGCTCTATATAAACTTTTTCCTAAAAAAAAAAAAAAAAAACTGACGGAACATATCCCTGGGCAGACAAGTCTGGCCGCCTAGCCCAGTCTGCATAGTCAAATAATAAAGGCAGAGACCAGGCTCTGACCCGCCCTTCTAATAGATGGTCAGGGTCCAAACTTTTGGCCACGCCCAGCCCATTGCCACCACTAAGACCAAGAGCAAGCAAGTCGTGCAATCAGTGCACGTCGCGCTTGGATGGCACCATGCGCCAACCAAATCTAGGCTGCTAACATGGAATTACCCTATTCGGAAAATGGTCATTTTCCCTTGTTAAAAAATGGTTTGAAAGAGCAAAATCCCCATGGACCTTTGGACCATGCCCATATTTTTCATTTCTTTTTTTAATTGATACCTCTGTGGGCATGGTAACAAGGTCGAAGCTTCTTCGAAGTAAACTACAAAAAACAGAATACGAGATTCAAAGCTTGAAATCCAAGGGTCGCAATTCTCAAAGTATATGCCAAATTTGAGAGGGGACTTTAAATTCGAATACTTACCACATCCAGATAAAGACCTATTTCCTTGTTTGAAGACAAGGGTTGAAAATGACGTCACGTGTGATGTTTCATCTGAGATGGATCACATGGGCCGATTCCCTTCCTCAACGGCGTCCATGACTTCTTGTTGATCTTTGAATGTGCAACCGACAAAACGTAGGTGGTCTCAAGGGTCCAAATTTGTCCATTTGGTCATGTGGGTTGAAAACCTGTTTACGAGGGTGTGGAGGGCCCTAACTCTCTCGAATCATATGCTTTCCAAAATCTCAAAAAGGTTTAGAGGAATCAAAATCTCTCTAAAGCCCTTCAATCATTAGCTTAAAACATTATTCGTTCTTCTGATTTTTTTTTCTAGGTACTTTTTTTTTTTTCCCCTCAATATAGATAATAGGGAAATTTATCAAAATATACATTTTACCCAATAGCATCAAGTGTCTTTGGACGGGTGCTTCGAAATTAAATAAAAAAAGATATAGGTATAATGTTAAATAGTTTGACTCTCAAAAGTATTTGAATAAATTTCCCTACATAATAAAATGTGCCAAAGATATTTCGAGGTTACTATAAACCGTCAACTCGTGCCTTTGAATGCGGGACCAAATGCACAATACGGTCCCATGGAACTGCCATTCATTCGCCATAAACCAAAATTTCATTTGTCAACTCTCCGGTTGTAAGATTGCTTTGAAAGTACATAATATATTGAAGGAAAATGCAACGTACAGAAATTCTATATCTTAAAAATAAGATAGTAAAGTATATGTGGGTGATCCACCCATTGTTGCCGAAAGGGCGAAGACGTGGTGTAGTTTTTAAATGACAGCGTCTCACACAAGGCAAAAAGAAGAAGAAAAGAAAAGAAAAAAAAACCTGAGATCATTTATTATGATAGAAGATGAACAAATGTAAAACACCATATATTCGGTGTATTTCAACCAACGGTGGGCTGAAACCGTCAGGTGAATCAACTGGGAATGATAAATTCGGAGCAGAGAACCGCCAAGGGAAGATCTGTCTAGAAACTGTAAAATAATAATAAATAATATGAAATCCGGGGAAGTAAAGGAGCCTATTGTTTTTTAGACGCGACCCATCCCATATTCACGTTCAAAATGGGCCACTCAAGTCTTCCGCTCCACTTTCTAAGATAATGCTTAGGATCAAGGATTTAAGAAACACCGTTTCCAGATTCGCCCAATTTGGATTGTGTATTGCTTGTTGCTAATAAAACGAGATCCGGCTGTGTCGCTACAGTGAATCACTTGTATGATGTCACAGGCTATAGTGAATTGCTTGTATGACGTTACGGACCGAACATGTCACCAGTCCCTACCGATTCTAATGGCATGAAACTGGTTCTTACATGGACAAACAAGTTCTAAAAGTAACCCTTTTTTTTCTTGAAAATTGCATTAACTGTCTTTTTATAAAAAAAACAGCGTATTAATTTATTTTTCTAATATTGGGGGTGGTCGAACTTTTTTTTTTTTTTAGAAAGTACAAACACCAACCACACGTCGTTTGACGGCCCAGTCTAAGCGTTTTGCAATTGCCCTAGCATGCATGACTAAAGCTCACGCTGCATTACACGCCTATCGTTTTTATAAAGCCTTTTGTCTTCACAGGTTTGTTACTTTTTCCTACCCTCACGCTAAGTTCAATGTAATATACTTTCGTTAAAACAAAACGTAGCTTGCCCCTTTTTAAAATAAAACGTAGTTTGCAGTAAGTACGAACCACATTTTATAGTTATATAATTATAATTTTAATAGTATGATTATTAACTATGATTATAAATCTAAAATCAATCTAAATGATTTCAAGTGTAATAGAGTTGTTTATAGTAGACTCTTTACTATGAAATTTTAATTATGTAAATATGATCACATTAAAATTATATTAATACTATTATATCGAATAAATATAATTATATAAATATTGTTAACTTATTTACTATAATTATATTAAAATTTTTATTTCTATATCGAATTTTTTATAGTTATAAATACATTAAAAAGTCACATAATTTAATTTATTAAATTGTTATATTAATCAATAAATTATTATTGTTATATAGATTCTGTTATTTTCATATTTAGTATAGATTGTAATTTTAAATACTTATTGTTAATTTATTATTATTATAATAACTTATTTTATAAAGCAATGAAAATTTAATATAATTTTAAATTGTATTAAGTTCCTATATATATTAATGAAACTGGTTCTCAGTATTTCCATATTTTTTATACAATAATAAAAATATAATGTAATTACTATTATTGATTAAGAAAATCTAAGGAATTATATTTTTAAGAAATTACAATGATTTTTTAAATTTGTTTTAGGCTGAAACCGTCGATCTAACCGATGTGATAGTAATTTCATTTTATATGGAAAATGATTAATTTTAATCTTATAATATAGAAGTGCTTTCTAATATTTTTAAATTATTTTGATGTAATATTATAATACTATATTATAATTAATAATTATACAGACATCCAAACATGAAAACGTCTCAGTATTCACTTATTTTAACAAAATAATGAAAGTACCTAATGCACCACTCCTTATTT